AGATTACATTGCAACGAATGTCGTTATTCTTTTTTAATTCAAATTCGTGAAAGAACAAAATAAACAAGATTCGCCTTGGCTTAGGTGATGAAATAGTCAATTAATTTGTCCAATTCTAGTCTTGATTAACGAAAGAATACTATGAGAATCAATTAATTAAAAGTTTATTTAAAGTGATCAAACAACATTAATTAATCGATTAAAACGTTGTTTAAATGAGAGAAGAAAAGGTGGTTTATCTAAGTGCTCGGGATTTTACCACTTCTCCTTGCTAGACCTTCGTTTAGAACACTTATGGACTCCTTCTTGTTCGGGAATCTCCACCGGAAGCACAAATGATGAAAGGGGTGAGTTTTTAGGACAAGGGGAAATGATTAATGCATAAGATCACAAGGTTTTTGCTAATTTTCTGGGTTAATTTATGTGTCCTTCAAAGCTCATATTGAACCCCTATTTATAGGGAATGGATGAGTTTCGAGTTTTAGACATTCTGCCGCAGCAAGTGGCGCGCGCATCTCGAAAGGTCGCGCGCGCGACTGCTGCACGCATGTAGTTGAGTTGCGCTGCTAGGGGCAGCGCAACTACTGATCTTGCGCGTGGCTTTATGGTAAGATTTGATTCAGCAGTTTTATAAAATTCTGAATCTTTCGCGAGCGCATCTCTGGAAATTGCGTAGGATGTCACGCACAATCTTGTTGGTTGCGCGCGCCAGGCCAGCGCGACTCCTTGAGTTGCGCATGAGGGCCTTCTTTTTTTTTTAACTTACTCACTCAATCAAAAAACCTTCTACTCACTGTCGAGAAAAGAAGAAATTCTACTTTCATACAATATCTTAATGGAATTCTATGTAATGATCAATAAATTCATTTGAATTCTATACCTACACGTATCAAAATACTAACAACGGAATCGAATCCATTTTTTAGTTATTTGGGCTGGAATTGACGAACAATTAATAACAATATTAGTGTTTAGTAGTGTAGAATAGAAATATAAGTGGGGCGTGGCCAAGTGGTAAGGCATCGGGTTTTGGTCCCGCTATTTGGAGGTTCGAATCCTTCCGTCCCAGAGCCAGAGCATATGTAATTTAAGATTGCATTTTTCGGTTTCTAAAGTTTAATTCCCATTTCATCAAATGAAAGGAAGATAAGTGTTCAAATGACACACGGATACAAGTGAATTCGTTGGAGATTTACGCAAGATGGGGTTATAGATTACATACACTGATTTGAATTCCAAAAAAAGAGTGCCCTTAAGCATATATACATCCCCAAAGTATTTCTATATAATATAGAAAGAGGGTTAGTTATTTTTTTATTCATCCCGGCAAAGAAAGTTGATTTTCCAACCTATTAAATTTGGTTTATTTTTTTTATTCTTCATTTATTAATAACGGTCGAGCTCATAAAGAAACATGGATTTGTATTTCTTAGGAATATTTCCTTTATTTTATTGTAAAAAAAGAAGCATTCCATTACTCAAAATATCTTAAGATATATTCTGTTTCGGGGTTTTTTCGGATGTCCTACAGGAGAGTTACAATTTCAAGACTGGTCTCTCAGCACCTGTACCTGCAAAACAACGGAAACTCCGGTTGGGTGGAGTTCCACCTCCAACGATCAAGTTAGAACGTATTCGGAAGATAAAAAGTGCGGAATATAAAGTCTCTCTCGGATTCCAAGAGAGTATCTGCAATTAATGATTGCTTAGGTTTTCTGTGAATATTTGTGTATATGTCCCATGATGAGATCATCTCCCTATTTATAGGGTCTCGAAATGTGTGCCACCATCCTAGGTTACGAAAACCTTGGAATGGTGGGCTATCTCGGGAATTGGGCCACAAAGGCCACCATTTTTCCCAATCATTGGAGATGCCACGTGTCAACTCTCTGGGAACCTCTCTTGAATTGACACGTGTCACCTTCCTATTGTATCACGTGTCCTGGGTAAAAAATACCCAAAACATATTCCATACCCATGTATTGGCTATTCTAAGTGAACCAATGACTATTCATGATTTCATAATTGAATTAACCGCATACCGGTTCCAAATTTCAGGAATGGAAGCTTGAAAATGATTTACTGGACATTCCTTTTTTAAGACCTATGTCATTTGTAGTGTAATAGTTCTTTCTCCTTGGACATATACTTCAGGAATGGAATCGTACTTTTATAATTCTCCTTCCCAAGGTGGATCACCCTCAGCAGCCTTCTCAGTTTAGACCGATCAAGGTATGCAACATCCTCTATAAATGCATTGCGGAGTGAATATCTAATCGGATTCGAAAGGCCTTACCTTCCTTAGTTTCGGAATTCCATAATGCATTTGTGCCTAGTCGGATAATGTCTAATAATGGTCCCATTGCAGTACTTTCCTATATGAATAGCTCTCGAGGTCGTACATTTTCAGCAGCTTTAAAGCTTGATATGAACAAGGCATATGACAGAGTCAATTGGCAGTTTCTATGGAAAGTTCTTCGGGCTTTTGGTTTTCCACCTTATTGGGTACATATCATACAGCAATGTGTTTCCACGGTATCCTACCAACCCAACAAAGGTTTTCAGGCCCATCCGTGGCCTCCGCCAAAGAGACCCTCTATCATCATACCTATTTGTTCTCTGTATGGAAATACTTTCTGCTATGATTCACAAAGCTAAAAGGGATTGTTTATTCCGGGGCATTAACGTGTCAAGGAATGCTCCCTCAATTTCACATATATTCCTTGCAGATGACTCTTTGCTCTTCTTCCAACCTTCTCCCTTTACTTGTAAAGAGATTCTGCAGGTTGTTCAAAAGTTTTGCGGTTTTGCGCCATCGATCTTGGGCCAGATGATTAACTTACAGAAATCCTTTGTCAGATTTAGTCCTAATATTCCCAAAGACTATCGAGTATTTGGCTTCTGCTTTGCAGTAGAAAGTTCACCCATCACTGGGTTCGTATTTAGGTCTCTCAGTGGATATTGGCAGAAGTAAATGTATGGAATTTCAACTCCTCATTGATAAAGTTGTTAGTCGTTTAAGTAACTTTGCCTCCCTCCATCTTTCTGCGGCGGCGAAACCTGTGGTCATCAATTCTATTCTGGTTGCTTCCCTTATTCATGTACTTTCGGTTTTCAAGATTCCCTCCATGGTCTGTGACAAAATTAATAATCTTATGGTCTGTTTCCAGTGGAAGTCTAAGCCCTCTTCTAAAGGTCTTGCGTTGGCCCCCTTCTCCCTTCTATTTATGCCTAACGGCTAAGGCAACTTGGGCCTTCGACACTTGGGTCACTATAATTCAGCTTTGTTGGCTAAACAATCTTGGAGAATTATGCAAAATCCTCAGTTGTTGTTTCGCGCGTTCTTCAGGGACAGATTGCTCGACCTTCTTGGGGTTGTAGAAGTTTATTGGACGGTTTTAAGACCCTCCAGATGGGTCTAAGTTGAGAGATAGGGAATGGTTCTCAGGTTTATAATCTTCAGATTCTTGGGTGCCGGGAACTTATTTGCAGTTCAAGGATTCTATTCCTGGATCGGTTCACCCGACTCTGGTGTCTTCTCTTCTTGATCCGTGCACTAATGCATGGGACTCTTCCTTGGTTCATTCGTTATTCCCTACTTCTGCGGCAGTTAAATTTCTGAGTCTCGGAAGGCCTGCGCAGCCTATGGATGATTATGTCTATTGGAAATTTACTAGAGATGGAGTGTTTTTGACTAAGTCGGCCAACGCAAAATTAATTCAACAATCGAGTTTCCTAAATCCGCTTGGTTTATGTGTCTCATCCCTATGGTGGAAAAAGCTTTGGGCTTTACCTATTCTTCCGAAATGGAAACTTTTTGTATGGAAATTGCTGAATGATGCGCTTCCTGTTGCAGCCACTTTGCCGGCTAAGGGTATCCTAATAGACCCTGCTTGCTCCTTTTGTCATCTCAGTCTTGAAACTGTCGACCTTCTACCTTGCATTGCTCGTTTACAAGTCATCTTTGGGTTTGTGGTCCTTTAGGTCTTTGAATTCCCGATATTGATCTGCCCTCCTTTTCACTTTAGTTCTCTTCTTTTATTACTTTAGCTGTCACTCTTGGGGATTGTTTGGGTTAGATTCAATATTGTCTTTCGCCTGGACGGTTTGGCCTTCTAGAAACAACATTAGGTTCCGGGCTTCTCCTTGCTCCCCCTCATCAATCTTCCAAATTGCTCACGAATGAATTATGCGAAGCACTTTGGCGAGGGAAATTCCTACCTTAAATGCCATTGTTCTTTCCCTGGTTTTTGTACTCATTTGTTTTCACTTTCCCTTCGTAGCTGTGGAAATGACTTGCCTACTGTGGATCTTATTGTGTGTGGGGCCTGGGATTCCACGGACAGTAGACAGGCACTGGTTGGTGTTTTTCATTAATTGGCACTGATGACTGCTTAGGGGGTGGTGCCCGGGCATGCTTTGCTCTTTCAGCTTCTCAAGCAGAATTGTTAGCCTGTTTATTTACTTTACGGATGGCGCAGTAGCGGGGTTTTACTCATCTGCGTATTTGTACTGACTGTTTGGCTATTGTTACTGCTCTTTAAGACAATGGTACCAGGGACATTTCGACTGTTTGGATCCAACAACAGATAAGAGACATTCTTCCAGCCTTTACCATTTGTCATACAATGAAAGTCTCTCGTGCTTCAGTGTTGCCTGCCCATCATTTAGCGACTTCAGCCAGGAAGCGTCAGCCTCTTTGTTTCCATTTTTAGTTTGTTTTCTTTAGTGTGAAACTTTGTCAAAAAAAAAAAAAAAAAAAAAAAAAAAAAAAAAAAAAAAAAAAAACCTCAGTTGTTTGACATTACAAAAATAACATAACAAATGAATAGGCTGATAAATTTTAATATTTTTACATTGTTTCAAGGAAATGCATTAACATCAGTGAAAATTTTGAAAACAAAAATTGCAAATCTTGTATCAGACGAAACAAAGGTGGTTGTGCATCGTGTTACGGTGACAGAGCTCATTCCGAAGGTTTAGCCACATTAGGAGCGAAGTTTATCCAACACATTTTCATTGCAAGCAGGATCACAGGAGACAATTGAAGTTGTAACATAATGAAGAACAACAAACTAAAATCTGACATAACATTCCTTTAGCTAAGAATACAGTCTTGTTCTATTATTATAAATTATAAAGATCCGTTTGATGATTATTACCATAAGTTCTTGTCTGCAGATACATTTTCTCACCCAGCAATCTTTGTCTACATCGTCAATGAACCAGTCATGTCTCCTGCAGGCAGCAAAATTTTCTGAGTTGATCTATTTAAGGTCTCTGATTTATGATGGCATGCAGAGGATGAAGTTTATGTGTAGTGAGACCGACAGTATCGATGTCCTCTTCCTGCCCAGGCTGCAGCTTCCACTCGAATTCTTGCACCAATCTACCAATAGATGTGCAAGATATTAACATGGCCTGAAGCGAACCAGCACAGATCCTTTTGCCTGCTCCAAATGCCATTGTCTTGTAAAGGTCATGAGGATCATACTTATCATCCAGGAATCTCTCTGGAATCCACTCATCAGGATTTTCCCATTGATTTTTGTCTCTGTTACATCCATAGAGGTTCACTATAATCTGCGTAAGACAGTTTATATAGTCAGATAAGAAGCTAATTGCTGTTACTCAGAATCTCAGACAATGGTCTGACAGTCAGACTCAGCTATATATTTGTTGAAAATTTCCAATTTAATTTACCCCAATAAAGTGTCTAGTGTCCATACCCCATGTCCGAGTTTTGAGGGTACTTGAAGTATATTGAAAGAGTTTAGGAGGTTGGGGCCTCTTGGGGGGGGAGGGAGGGAGGGGGGGGGGGGGGGGTGGGGGGTGGGAAGCATAAAAATTTCCTCCATTTTTCTCATCCAAAAGGTTAGAGAAATTAACCTATATATCCACCCAATAAAGAAAAACATTCCTATGTGAGAGAGGGGACATTCAATTTCACCCTTGCCCTCATGCATCCCTTCATGGCTTTATCACAACTCTAACTTCAATAATTTGAATCATTAAGGACTATACAAAACTAATATACTATTCATTCTGTCTAATCACAAAGCTTGAATAAAAGGGCATGGAGGATATCAAACCTCAGTTCCAGCAGGAATGTGGTAGCCTCCTATCTCAGTATCTTCATGCACATATCGTATAGGAATGATGGGAACAGGGCTGTGCTTCCTCAAAGTTTCATGAAAAATAGCTGACAAATATGGCAACTGAGACAAGTGATCTTCTGTAATCTTATCAGAGCCGCAAACAGTTTGTATTTCTTGATGCAGTCGCTCCTGTTCAACAATAATGCATGCAAATTAGTAAATGAGTAGCTAGCTGAAATGAGATAGGAATATAAATTTGAAACTGTGATAAAGTCTGTGGCTTTAGCAACCTGTCGTTCAGGATCCTTGGCAAGTTCAAATAGGGCCCATTCCGTTGAGATTAAGGTGGTATCAGAAGACTCGATGATTGGCTCCCAAAGCAGCATAGCTAGTTGAGTCTCTGTCAACGTATTTGCTTCTGACAACAAGAAGTCAAGATACGAATTGAAATCCTGTTTTAGATTTGCACCAATTGTAACTTTATTAGCGACTTGCATGGTAAATGGATAAAACTAGGGAGTTACAAAAAAGTTCAGGATGATAAACCTTTTTGCCTTCATTTTGTTCCTTATGCTCCTTAATGAGTGCCTTCATCACTGCTAGTCTGCGAAAATCCAACTTTTTAATATTTGCTTCTACCGTGTTATTAGGAACCCATTTGAGGTAGGGAAAGAAGTCTCTCCAATCGACCTCAATTGCACCCTTCATCATATCCAAAACTAGGATATGAAATATTTCATTTCTTGTCAGAGTAGTTCCAAGCTCTTCAACAAAAAGAGACTGCACATCCCGTCCTAAAGCCTGTCCATCGAGTTATTGTAAGTCATTATAAGCCAATCTAACACACTGTTAATCATATGCCAAAATCATGTCCAAACAACTTGACTAAGAAAAACAGTGATTTACTTGTTTCAAAGCTAATCCAAAGAGCTCCGATTCAAATATTTTCCTGAAATTTACTGCTTCAAGGGGGTGGCTCTTTATATGCATATTGAAGAAGCCTACTACATTGTCCAACATGGTTTCACGAATTGTTCGACTGCGCTTCTGCAGTTTACATGGAGACAATATTTCAGATAAATGTATATATTAGAAACTTGTAGAGCAACTTCCAAGTACAATTAAAGGTGACAATACCTGAGCATTTGAGCCCAATAGATACGAAATTATGTATTTCTTTACTGTTTTGTGAAACTCATTATAGTCACTAGTTGCAACCATGCATTTATCATAGGTAAGGATTTTAAGGGCATTTGACAATTTTCTGGTCGAGATAGATGAGAAGCGGGTAACCATAGCCTGAAATATAATGAGAAAGAGAGAAAAAATGTTATTACACTTGCCTAACAGCATATGGCTAAAACAAGCTTGTGCTTATAAAGACAGAAGCCCATTTTTCCTACTACATACTTAAAATCAAGGGAATCCGTGTGATTCTAGATATGACTGAACAGCACCAAAACTAAGGAGGCAAGGAAATACTTCAATATATTTTTCACTAGATCACATCTCCTCAAACATATTAAGGAAAATCCTTCTTTATACTGAGCTTTGATGACCCTTTGGTACAGTGTGGTGTTTTCTAATTCCTATTCACTACACTAGCAGACAGTGATTGACGACAGTTTTCAAAATGCCATAATTATTACTGTAAGGAACTAAAAGTTGCATGAACCACATATATGATTAAAGATTTTATTTTCAGAAACTTGGATTTTTACAGTTTACAAAATTCAAGGGTGTTAGTTTATAAAACCTCTTGAGTAGTAATGTTGCTTGTGCAAGAGCAGCAACCAAAGAGGACAAAGGTTGCAAGATACATTCCCATCCTTCAGGTGTAAATGGAAACCATTTACCCAGAAATTACTGATGAAATTCCTACAACCTACTAGGGAAAAAATATCAAGCAAACAAGTTCGGAAACTGGCTTTTAAAGCTAAAAATGGGTAGATTGATAAGATTTGTGAGATTGTAGTCCCCCATCAAGAGTTTTATGGCATCGGAAAATTACATGCTAGATAAAGTGTACTTTTGCTGATACTTATGACGGATTAAAACAGAAGTTTATTCCTAGAATGCATTAGCTCTTTAGTCATTTACACGTATATGTGGGTATGAACGTATGAGATGTTGAGATTAAAGGTTTCTTTTTCCCTCATGACCCATGAGGCCATGACTAATGGGTTTGAAATAATTTTAACCAGCTAAAAAAAACATACTTTCATTAGCTACTTAGCTAGCTAACTATTTGGGTTCGACAAAAACTAAATTCCTACTGATGTTATTGATTCCTTGTGATGATGCAATCTGTCTTTAATGTTGATTTATACCTGAAACTATCGCTCACTGTTTTAAAATGTGACATTAGTAGAAGATTTTTTCAGTTAAGTTTTTTCCTGTGTAATTTACTTTTAGTGGCTACAAGCTGCAGGCTGTCAGGGAGCAGACATGCAAAAGAATAAGACCCTCAAAAGATCTGTTCTTTGGCATGATAATGTCTCTGTTGATGCTGCTATAATGAAGAATCTAAGGCAAATTGTATAGCAAGGCTTGAAAATTTCAGACAGATAAGTTGTCTAGCTTGGATAAATTGTGTAACAAAAATCAGGTAAATATATAGGTTGTCTAGAAGTTATCTTACTACTGCTTGAGAACAATTATGTAATGAAATATCATTGAGATTTCATTTTTTCCAAGGTGAAGGATTTGGGGTCCATTCTTAGGGAACCCGAGTCATGTGTTGTGTGCTTATGCTCGAGAGAGGACACCCCATCTTAGGGTAAGGCTTTCCTGGTTTTAAAAGGGGTTTTGCCTTCAAATTTATACCTTTGTCTAGATTTGCTTTAATCCTCTACAGAATACAAAGTTTCATTTAATAAAAGCTAAAGACTAAAAGAAATCTCGTTCCCATTCTGCTGCATAAACAAATAGAAAAGGAGGAAGGGGGAGGAGGGAGGGGTTCAAAGAAGAAAAAGGCTTGAAGAAAAAAGTTGGCCTTAAGAAAATGCAATATGAATGTCGAAAACATCCAGCCTAAGGAGAAAAAGATACCGAGTACATAGATATGGTTTTAACCAAACACATCCAGCCCCTTGTTCAACAGTCTCCTTCCCACCCTTAATTTACTGTTAATGGCCTTAACCAAACACATCCAGCCCCTTGTTGATACAACTCACACAGGAAGTTTTTAGAATAAGTTTATCATCCTTCCTAGACAGTTCTGTTTCTCCTCCCTCTTTCTAATTAGGTGGACAAAATCACCACTTAACACTACTTAATTGCTAAGAGCGTACAGTATGCATCTCTTGTGAAGTCATAATCCATCAAACGAGTGCCCCTTAGGGATAAACATAAGCATACCCCAGAGGCCAAGACATGAGAAAATCCTTAATTACTGTATTTATCACATAACCAATACATCAAACAGTACACAAAAAAGTGTCATACAGGTTCAATAGAGCTATGCATAGCTTATCAGTAAGGCACAGAATGAGATTTAAGGCACAGAATTGGTCTTCATAGAATGAATGTATACGTAAGCATAAGATGATGTTTCATGATGATGACGAAAATGAGTGAGAACTACCTCTTTCGCGACATCTGAATTACTAAGCACGATCAAATGAGAAGAACCAAGTTGAATTGAATAAACAGGACCGTGATCTTCAGACCATTTAGTAAACGTCTTGTAAGGCTTCTTCTCTTTTAGCTGCAGCAAATTCCCAAGTAAAGGCAGACCAGGAACCTCTGCACTATCACCATTTGTTTCAAACTTAATTCGCCGAAAAATCAATCAAATTCAACACAAATGAAAAGAGCAATGACAAAATCAAAAATTTTCAAAACTGGGTTACAAAACAAAAATGTCATTATCCTTCATGGCTCTTTTCCATTTTTATTATCTTCTACTTCATATTACATCATACAAGTATACAACCATACAACATACTTTAGGATTTACATGGTCCCCAGATACTCCATCTGCTTAGCTACTGAATCAATAACCGAATGACACATGGCCATATCTCCTGAAAAATCCTCCTACCTTAATCATTTGTACATTAATCTCTTCAAGGTAAATAAAAAATCATTCACCAAAAAATAATTTGCTACAGCTTAGAGTTGTATAACATACACTAACGTCCAGTTTTTTTTTTTTTCTTTTTTTTTTTTTGTTAGTTTGGAGAGACATAAGGGCGAATGATGAGAAGGATCTCTTAAAATCGGAAGGGGGGTCTCTAACCACTTGAGTTATCCCTCACTCTCCATTACTATTACAAAATTGACCATATTGCACTCCATAATGTGCATTTATTTAATTAAGAAAATAAAATTAAAAAAACAAACAGACAAACATTGTCAAACGAGATATTATTAAATTTATTTTAATTGCATACATATTAACAGTCCAACTAAAATGCAAGTGCCTAAAAAAAATAAAAAAAAAATAAAAAAAATCTTGTATGTTATACTGAAATCTAAGTTAGTCCTTACAAAATTATACTCCGCATTTGATAAACCAATTTAGATCAAATATTGAATTAAATAGGAAGATTTACTTCGTAAATTCGCAAATTAAAAACATAAAAGCAATTTAAAAAAAAAATTTAAAAAAAAAAAACACATTTTTTGGACACTCTGTATTTCCCAATCCTTTGTTAAATTGTGTTTTATTCACTATTTGCAAACTTTTAATTCATTTAAGCAATTAAAAAAAAATGAAGACTTACTAGGGACAGGAGGACCTTGACATGAAACAGAAAAATTCCTTCCTCCATTCACAAATGATTTTCCTAACAAAACCACCATTACGATTGATGAAACTGCTACTATTGCAATCGTTGTAGCAAATGGATTTTCCATAAGTTTCGCAATGTTCATACCAATCATCTCCATTGTTCTGCTAATTACCACTATCTCAAAGGGTAATTCAGGATATTCAAATTGCCCTCTCCTCTTTGAATCAACGCAATTTCTCTGAAAAAAAAATGTACAACAACAACAAATTAAGCTTGATTTCAAGTAATTTTAACAAAAACACAAATATATAATTTTACCAATTTCCAATATATTTTTTGTGACGACCCCTCTTAAAATATTTGAACTGAGCACAAAATAGAGTAGTTTGTATTTGGGCTTTGTTTTTTTTTTTCTATGAAATGAATTTTGGTATATTTATATTTAAAAGAACAGGACAATAATGTTGTGCGAAAATCAAAGTTTTTATGTTTTTTTGGGTGGGAACAAATTAATTACTTTAGTGGATTATGTGCTGTGCATTGTTCAAGGTGTCATCTGTCATGTCTAGATTACAAGTGACTTGTAGAAGAGGATTTATTTCCTTGTAAAGTGATATGTATCCAAATTAGTGAGTTTATTTCTGGATTTTGTTTGTGTCACTGAATCAAAGATAATCGCCTATTTATGGTAAGAAATCAAAAAGAATATGTTTCACTTTTGTGAATGTAAAAATCTCCTTTTTTTTTTTTTTTTTTTTTAAGATTTTGTGAATTTAATATCCTCTCTTTTTGACGTGTAACATTATGTAATTTTCTCAATTTTTTAATTGAAATACTTTGACCTAAGATTGAGCAAAAATATTCAAATAGACGAATATTTGATTAGCATTCGATCTGATAATTTACGATATTAATTTCGGATCGGATATCCGATACAAAATTTTGGATATTAATTTTCAGATGTTTTAACACCCAAAAAATATCTAACATAAGTTAGATTTTGTATACCAAGTAACAAATATCTGATCTAAATATCCAAAAAAAATAGGTGTTTTTTACATTTCCTTTATTAAAAATATAACAAAATTCAAAATCGAAAATATTTATGTAGTATTTCAGATAAAGTGTGCCCCCCCCCCTCAAAAAAAAAAAAATGTTGTATTTCGGATATCGAATATTCGGTATTCGGTATATCCGATCCAAAAAGGATATCCGATCCAAAAGGATATCCAAAACTTTTTACATCGGATTCAAATACCGTATTTCAAGTTTTCGGATGTCGAATATCATAGTTGTTCATACCTATACTTCACACAGGATACTTTGACTAACCTCTATATCTATATCTATATCTATACTTCTATACCTATTATATGAAACACAAACCATATACACCACATGTCCTCCTTTCCTTCATCACCCTTTGCACTTCATCTTCCTTGTTCATCACCAACATTTAAATCCCTTCAACATTCTTCATCCATTGTATTCATTTCCTTTTTCTTTCTTTTATTTGGTGTTTAGAGAGCCACAAAGGCGAGTGATAAAAATCGATACCAATATCTCTTGAAATCGGGAGGGAAGCTCTAACCACTTGAGCTATCTCTCACTCTCGTATTCATTGTCTTATTCAGTTTACATACGAGTAATTCACTTGAGCTATTCCCCACTCCTTAACTTTTGTTAAATTAAGCGAAATTCTCAATGGTGACCCCCAACTTCTACTATGCACCAATGGTCATCACCCTTTTTTTTATTATACAAAATGACCCTAATTAAGAAATTTATCTCGCATATGACATTAATGAGTGTTATTTATTTTTATTTTTTTTAAAATAACCCATGGTTAACTTTGAAGAGAAAATAAATAAAAAAAAATACCTAAAAATAAAAACCACCAACCCAGCCACCACCTTCACCCTCATCCCCACCAGATGTAACCATCCCCACCAGCCAAGCTCCCCCCGTCGGCGACACTGCTCCAAGCTTACCCCGCCGGCGATGCCGCTCAACCTCAACCACCGCCCAGCCAGAATCCCTAACCCACCAAAGACCCTCATTCTCTCTCCTCACCACCACCACCACCTCTACCCTCTTCCTCACCTCAACCCGACATTCCCCACCAGACTAAGAATCGCACCGCCACCAGACCAAACCCACTATTCATCCTCCCACCACAACCCACGAACCTCCTTTTCTCTCTCCTCTGACCTCTCTTATGCCTAGATCTAAACCCAACCGTCGCTCCTAGTTCGATCTACAAAATCCAAATAGTGTTTGGGTTCGGCGGTCTGGGGGTGGTCAGGGTTTTGAGTTTGGCGACCTAGTGATGGTGAAGTTGAGAAGGACGAGAAGGAGGGAGGGTTGTGGGCGAGGATTTGGGAATATGGCTTGGCGGTGGTCGAGGTGGAGTTGGCGCAGTGTCACCGGCGGTCGAGGGAGTCTGGGTAGTGTCGGTAGCGACCGATGAAACCTTGGGTAGTGTCGCCGGAAGGGAGATGGTGGCTGGCAGGTGGTGGTTGGGGTTAATTTTTTATAACTTTTCATTCCTTTTTTTAAATAGAAATCTAACCATTGTTAATATTTAATTGAAATAAAGTTATGAGTGAGATGAAATTTTTAACTAAGGTCATTTTGTATATAAAAAAAAAAAGGGAGGTGACCATTGGTGCGTAGCAGAAGTTAAGGGTCACTGTTGAGATTTCCCTTAAATTAATTGATAGGTTTTCAATCACACAAGAATTACAACATTTTTCCTAAAATTCATTGAGATTATTTCCAAGGATTAAAAAATTATTAACATTTTTTTTTCTTCCAATTTTTCTATATATAGCTCATGCATGGCACGGATCAAACTATTACGAAGTAGTCACTTATCACATTCACCATTTAACTATTTTTTTTATAAAACATTTATATCAAAATGATCAATAAAGTTAATTCATTACGTAACCAATGTTTGTTATATCTTTCACATAAATAAGATTATATAATGTTAAACGTTTAAAGACTTTAGACATTTTATAACGTGCATAATTAAGTAAAAATGAGGTGTTTCGTTGTCTTAAAAACTTACCTCAAAAAAAATTAAATAACCTACAAGTAATAGCCAGTGCATCGATGCAGAATTGGCTAGAAGGCATTTTTTTTCAACAAAAAAAAATAGCCAGTGCATCGAACTGGCAAGAAGGCTAGTTAGTGAATTATAGAAATGAACATTATAGTCACGTGGTATATATCTCGTTGAATATGTTTCAATGTGTAATTAATTTAAATATAATATCTAATATTTCTTACAATAGTATAATTAAAGATATTTTCGACTGAATTTATGCATTGAAAAACGTGATTAAACAAGAATGTGTTTGGCCTTTAATAATAATTGGTATTGTTCAAGTACTTCTTTGTTCTTTTATTTCCTCCTACTTTTCATTTAGATATATTTTTTTTAGGAAAATTTAACAAGAATGCATCAATCTTTGCCCCGTTCTCCCAAAATACATTAACCTTTAAATCTACCCAAAATGCACCTAATTTTGCATTTATTCTCCCAAAATGCACCCATCAGGTCACCTTACTTGTTATATCAAGTAAAAATCTACGTGTCATTAAATCATTGGTCAAGCTTTTTTTTTTTTTTTTTTTTTGATAATTTAAAATATAACAAAACAAAACCACCTCCACCTGAAAAACGCAGCCCACCACCTCGGCATCTCCACCAGAAAACGCCCACCGCCACCACTTCAAATCCCGACCCCACCGTCACCCCTCCACCTGAAATCCGAGAAGTAAGACGCTTGAGATTGGATTATTTGCGGGGTTTTTTAGGAGAAAGATTATTGAAGATTGGAGAAAAATGGGTATACAAATGATAATCATTTTGGGAAGATATGGGTTGAAATTGAAATGAATTTATGAGTTGGAAACTTGGAAATTTGATAATGAGATTATGTGAAATTGAAGCTAACCCATTACCCATAATCGAAATTTGAAGAAGTTTGGAGACACAGAGATAGGAGAGAATCTAGAGAAGAAGATGATGCTGATGAAACTGGCGACAAGAGGGCAGTGGCGGACCCAGGAATTTCCGACTGATGAGTCACAATCGATAACCAAATATGTAAAAAAAAAATTTGACAACATGACAAGCTTAGCTCTCTAATAATTGACAAGATTAAAATCTGTACAAGCATTAGGGTGTATTCACAATTTGACAGACATAATTGACTATATCATTAGGGTGGGTCGACTATATCATAAGCAATCGTCCGAATCGCCAATCAAATCAGCACATATGCAAAACCCCATATAAATCTACCAAAGTCAATGGTGTATTGACAATTTGACAGACATAATTAACATCAATAAACACCCTAAATAAACACTGATTACAATTCACATGGTCAAAAAGGTTCAAATTTCATCAAAAACCCAACAACATTAACAAAAGGTTCAAAGTTTACCAAACAAACAACAACAAAATCAACCAAAGAAAATAATTTTTTTTTTTTTTTTTTTTTTAAAAAAAAAACTTATAAATTTTTTTTGGGCAGGTCCGCCAATGCAAGAGGGTGGTCGAAAATCGGAAAAGGGAGGGGGAGGGGCAATAGGTCCGGCGGTTGTCTAGGTGGCCACAAAAAGCAGGGGAAGGGGAGGGTGTCTTTAGAAGAGGGTAAGCTCGTGTGTGGCTGCTTGGCTTCATTATATTATTTTTTATTATTTTGTTAATTTAAAAAAGATAATTTAAGGTGTTTCGGGGTTTTTTGAGTGTCCTGTGGGAGAGTTACAACACCAAGATTAACCTCCGGACGCCTGTACCTACAAAACAACGGAGACCCCCAAGGGTGGGAGCTCCGCCTCCGATGATCAAGTTAGAACGTGTACGGATGTAATAAATGCGGAATGTAAATGGGATCAGGCTCCTCTTAAGAGAGGAGTGATCATCCGGCTGTCTGAGACAGTCTCTATCTGAGCTTTTCGCTCTCTGATTTGTGAGGATTGAAGGCGTATTCAATTGAATTCCCCCTCAACTGATGTAAATGATCAGTATTTATAGAGTCTTTGGGAGAGGTGCCTATTAGGTTATTTAACCTAATTTGATGGGCTTCCACCGTTTTACGGTTTCTAGGGTTATGGGCTTAAAGTCCGTTTTCCCCTTTGAATGACACGTGTCATGCTCTAATTGGCTCATTGAGCGCTGAGCTTAGGGACACGTGTTGCATTAGCATAGGTCCATTTGTCAAGGATATTTTTACCCCAAACATAAGGTATTATATTAAAAATAAAAAAAGAAGATAATTAAAGGATAATTAAAAATTGACCGGTTGTATAGGTCATCGGTCATTTGAGTGCATTTTGAGAGAATAAATGCAAACTTAGGTGCATTTTAGGCAGATTTAAAGGTTAGTGCATTTTGGGAGAACGAGGCTATCTTCGTACATACTTTTGTTTTAATACTTTTACAATAAAGAAAATTAACACTTTTACTTGTCCTTGCTCCTAATATGGTCCACGTTATACTATATTGATTAATCATCCCATTACACGATTTTTACATATAAAATTTTCTAAATCTGTGTATAATAAATGAAGGATTGATCTTGTTCCATCCATAGAGAAATTGATAACATTCTTACTTAAAATTAGTTTAGATGATATTATAATAAGTACTTCGTGTATCAAAATTTCATACTACAAAGAAGATTACTAATATATATAAAAGCCCTGAAAAAAATGCTTAAGTAGAAAAAATACGAAAATAAATACCTATGAAAGAAGGAGCAATAAGAAAAGAACAATAAAAATAAGGTCGAAATTAACACACACACACACACACAAAAAAAAAAAAAAAAGGTATCCCATGTTGGAGTAAAGTGAGTAAAAGACGTGTTGTTCGGTCAGATTGTCACTTTTCTAGCTTGATCATAATTACTCCACAGGTTGGTTATGACTTATCACGTTTTCCCATGGATAAGTTGTGGAGTAGGCTTTTTCCATGTCTAGATTCATTCAACAACAACTCTATTGACTTTCTCCTCTTCCTTTTCCTCTTCCTTTGTATCCTCTTTGTAACTCCATTCAATTATGTGGTTGTTAATGGTAATTAAACCTCCCTCTTTATTTCGATTTAA